TCTCTGACCCTCCCCTGTTCACGCTGTCTCTCTCTCTCTCTCCTAGAAATAAATAAAACATTAAAAAAAAAAAGAAAAAAGAAAATCTGAAGAAAGCTTATGGTCCCTCTTCCCATAAGAACTCCAGTGCACATGCCCCCTAATTTTACACAGAATTTCAGAGAATTCAGAGCCGCTTACAACCCCCTGCTCTGGGTTAAGAGTGAAAACCTAGCCACAGCCATCTGGTGAGGTACTTATCAAGGCCTCACATCTGTCATCCTCAACCAAGTTAGTCCTGCCCCATGAGCACCTGTTTTGCTGATTAGACATATACTGAGCCCCAACTCTTCTGTCAGGCTTGCTCAGATACAGTACCTAACAAATTGTACAACACATGTGTGTAATAAGCTGTAACAACTACCCAGAGATTCTGAGAATCTTATCTTGCTAATGTTTATGGATAGCTTTGTTTGTTGATGTTAGAAACTCATTACCAGAGTCCTTCAAAGATCTGATACTAAGAGAAGCGCCCTCTCTAGAGGGCTCTTAGAGCCCAAATAAGCAATGAATTTCCACCTACCCTGCTCCATGATGGGCTGTTTTCATGTTTTGAGAGTAAAAAAAGAAAATATAACTTTGATAGAAGCCCTTTTAAAACTGTTTTTAACAATTTGTATAAAAATATCCCAAATTAGGGGTGTGTGAGACACACGGAAATGTTTGGAGCAGAACCTTCTTATCCACAAGGAGTGGTGATGAATGGAATCAAAAAAAGAGCTTGGAATACATGTTGGAAGATTAAAAATGGAAATTCATTTTCCTCTCAGAAATGGGCCTTGCATTGTGTCACTGGGGACAATGGAAATAGAAGCCAGAAGTCATAGTTTATTTTGAGAATGTTGTAGAACATTTGTTGTCCCCTGTTAGATGCCTGTGTTACGCAGCCCTGGGGACATCCTAGAACTACACTTGTGCTCTGACCTCTACCGTAGTATACCGCCCGCTCTCAGGGAACACGGTCTTTCCTAGCTGTTGCCATATATATATATGTTCTTATTCCAATCTGATCCCCACTCATCCCCAAAATAATCAGCATGAACAGAATGAAGCAGATGGCACAAGCCTTCTTTGGCATAGTGGCAGATCTGTATCACTCACGCAGTATTTTTAGAATCAAGGGGATTGAAAATTATGTCCTGAGATGTTTTGGGGGAAGACTTACTATCTTTCCAGGGTGACAGGTGTTGCGATATTACCGTATTTAAGACTCAAATGCCATCTGTGTGTCAAGTCACAGAATAGACTGATTATCATCAGGACCATCCCTTTGTCAGTTCTGTTAGGATTGTTGGTGGTTTGCCAGATAATAGAAAGTTAATCACGAGTCTGTTTTAAGGATGTGGCCAGAAAGCGCATCAGGTTTCAACCAAAGATTGGAATCAGCGGCAGCCAGCCAGTACTGGTCAAGTTCATGGTGATGGGGGACGTTGTATTATCCACATGGTTTATTTTTTTAAAAATAGCTGAGCTTTGATCCTTGGCCACAATGAATTTATAGTCTGTTGAGAAAGACTATTTTTATAGGAGATTGTGATAATATCATGAACATAGTGTAAATATTTATATTTGAAGGTCCACATTAATGAAATACCCGGTTATGGTGAATGAAACGTTAAAACCATTTCTGAAGTTGAATTCGTCATTCAGAAAGACTTAAGAAATTAAAGAATGTTAATTATAATTAATTCAGTTCAACATTTGAGGGCCAGTTTTGCACTTAGTGTTGGGGTAGGTGTATTTAACACACAGACCTAAAAAAACATCAGCTCTTGGGAAGAGACGCTCATGAAATGAGTTAAATATATAAAAAAAAAAATGTTTAAGTGATATTTGTTTGAAAGTTCCACGTGGAACAAAGTGAGGAAATGTGTGTTACATTTAAATAAAATCTGCCGTGTCTGAAAATCCGTCATTATATACCCACCGTCTTCAAAGACCCAAGGGAAATGTAGGTAATGATGTCCATGACTGTTGGACTTTGGAATCTAGGGCAGTGGCTGGAAAGTCGATCTGGGAAAATTTTATTTAGTGCTAAAGGTCAGGCACTTTTTGTTAAGTCTAAATGGAATAAATCTTACCTTTCCTTTGTATTCTTGGTGTATTGGTAAGCAGTCAGTCAAAGCTGGTATCTGTTGAGGAACAAAGAATGCCGATTTTGACGTGCAAGGTCATAGGTCTTTCTGCGGGTGTGAGCATGTGTGTTATCCAGACTCCTAGTTCCTTCCATGTGAATAGTGGATGGTGCTTTACGCAGAGGGAGAGAACGTGTGTTTCACTATTGTGGCTGTAGCTGAGTGACCAGTACCCTGTGCCACTTGTGCAGCTGATGGCTTCTACGCTTAATCCCAGTGTTTGATAAACAGCTTATACTTGTGTGGTATGTTTTTAGATTACTGCATATTTCAGATCCCTGCTGTTCCAGCTGGTTGTCCCCAACAGCCCGTTATGTGCATCAGGTGGTATCACAAATAAGGAAACAGACTCAAGATGTAGCTAACAAGTGGGCAAGCTAGAATTTGAACTAGGGAGTCTTTCCACCGTATTCATAGAACAAGTGACTGGGTGTACACGAATCGCTCCCACACTTCAGGGAAACACCTGAGGGTGAATCAGCACAGTTGTGTCTGAAGGAAAGCAGAACCTTTGCTTTATCTCTCTTGAGTGTGAAACTGAGCTTTGCCGTCTCGTACAGCAGCCACTGGCCACATGGGCCTATTTACATTTAAACACAAATTTCAGTTTCTCACCATCACATTTTGAGTGTTCAGTAGTCGTCATATGTGAGACACTTCCGTTATCACAGAAAGTTCTCCTGGACATACCGGTCATCACTTGGAAAGCATGAGTGTGGAGAATGAATTTAGTGAGCGAAGTTGGAACAAGTGCACATGGAAGGGATTGGTGGGGGGGCGGGGGAGAGAGAGAGAGAGAGAGAAAATCCCCCCCCAGACCAGCTCTCCTCCTGAGGGACTGGCACTATTTTGAGTTCAGCCGTCATGAGAACAAGGAAAAGATGAATTTCAAACTTCATATTTTGTTTACATTTTAATCTGTTTTGATAGCCTTGGAACACAGAGATTTCAAATGAATGAGTATATTTAATGGCAATGATAAATTCTATGCCTTTTATAGCTGGGCCAGTATTGCAGCCAGACTGCGGCTGGATGAGAAGTGGGACAGATCACGGGACCTGGCAGCAAAAACTCGGCCACACAGGATGGCATTCCTGGAAGGAATCCTTTGGTCTGTGGCCATGCTTGTTGGGGATGCCTCAGCGTGGGGCCACAGGCATGAACTGCAATACTGTAAGGGAGCAAGGATTTGGGGGAGAGGGCTTCAAGTCACACTCGGTGACAGAGAACAAGGCACGCGCGTGCTGCCATCAGAAGGGAGGTTCAGTGCCAAGATGCTGGCTGAGCGGCCCATGTGCCCAGCTTTGGGTCAGCACTGAAGCTTCAGGTTAAAGTGTGCGCGTCCCCGCTGAGGGCCCGAGCGCGCGGGTGGGGAGGGCTCTCTGCCTGGTGCTGACCCCTGGCGAGCTCTGAGCAGACACCATGAACACCACAGACGTCCGCTCTAGGTTTTGTCAGCTAGAAAAGGAGTATCTGATTCTCTGTGTACGTGTGCTATGAGCTGGTAGGTTTAAAGATGCTTAGACTGTTATAATAAATTTTATCTAGCTAGACTCGAGCTTTCCTTACCTGAAAGTAACTGTGAAAAGGTAAGCAAAAATTAACTTCTCACAACAAAGAGCAGCTCTAAAGACTGGGCAGTAAATGAATGCATGCAGGAAATGGGCCCTTGAGGACCTGCTGTGGTTGGTCACTTTACCGTGGGTGCTCTGCTTACTCGGCATAGCTCGGGAAAGACTGGCCTGCATACGTGCTACTCCAGTGTGCTTCATATAGACATACAGTACTTTTTTTTTTTTTAAGTATTGACAATTGAAAGGTTAGCAGCCACTTGCCTGAGAATTATTCTTTCTAGAAAAGCACAGGATTCTGGGTAGGCAGGGTTTTTTCTGCATTGTTCATGACTGCTAGAGACACTTAAGGCTCCTCGAATGATGGCCCATTGGTAGAAGAGGAAGGGCATGGGTTTCGGTAACTTTGCTTAGGTTGGAAGGTTGGTTTGAGACAGGTTGAGGCAGCCGGCCACCTTCTAGAAGCGGCCTTACTAACAAAGGAGTTGGGCCTCCAGAGTGGGGCTGGGGAATGAGGAAATGCCCCCAGAAACAGAAGGGGAGGAGATGAGCATAACAAACAGTTTACAGGAGGATGCTACCTACATGTCTAACTGCAGCCTGAGCCATCATTTTTGTTTCCGGGAGAATATTCTGTCTCCCCTCGAAAGGCACCACATCAGTGGACTAAACTGGCTTTATTCACATTTTGTTTACATCATGGAGTTGAGATCTTCAGCATGGTAACCTTACAAACAAATTAACTTGGACGTATACAAATGATTTCATCTCCTCCCCTGGAAGTTTAAACAGGTGCAATAAACACCGCACGTTATGCTAACCGTGGGTGAAGAAGAATAGCCCAGGGTTTGAATAGGCAGAGATGACTTTTATTTCTGTACCAATAAAACACTCTAACACACTGGGGAGGTCTTTTGTTTTTTCTTTCCTCTGAATTGGTTGGCTGAGCCTCACGCTGACCTCACGTCATGATCTGAAGTAGGTAATACCTTCGTCTGTGGAAGTAGCTGTCTCTCTGGAAAGTGTGCTTCAGCTGCCACCAGAACGCTGCGTGCTTGCCTCCTCGCCGCTTGGGAGGACTGATGTGCAGAAGGGCCTCCGGAAGCACATGAGGGAGGAGAGAGACTCGTGTGCTGCACTGGGGCCGTGGAAAGAAACGTGGGGATTCTGGGTAGTTGGTGCTGAGCTGGGAGGAGAGGAGGAGCACTCTCGTCAAAATGCTAATGCAAGAAAACTGTTGTTGTTCTCTCCACAGACGGCCCGGCGGTCCAGAGCGTGCCCCGGCTCTAGTGATGCTCCCGGAACCGCATCGTGCCTCCGACGTTCTCCCAGCCTGAGGCTGCGTCTATAAACTGGGATGTGGGAGAGCAGGAAGCAAAGCTCATGGTAACTGAGAGGCCCATGTCTGGGTAGAACCGGGACCACGACGCTGCCTCTCCCCTGGTCTGGAGTTCAGGCTGCCGTGGCTCTGCTCATGTGCTCAGCACCATCCTTCCATTTGTGCTTAAATGGCACAGCCTTTGGTCAGCGCATCTGAAAAGGAAGGTGTGAGAAGTAAAGCCCATGGCCACGTATCCCTGCCAATTATGTGGCAAGACGTTCCTCACCCTGGAGAAGTTCACTATCCACAATTATTCCCACTCCAGGGAGCGACCTTACAAGTGCTTGCAGCCAGACTGTGGCAAAGCCTTCATTTCCAGATATAAATTAATGAGGTGAGAGGCTCTAGAAAAGGTATGTACTTTGACACATACCTTGAAGTGGCTTTGCTGGCCCTCTGACCAGATACCGCAAGGGATGCAGAATGTGGGTGCACGTTAGCCTTGCACACTCCAGTGTTGAATGTGGCTTTCTGTGACCGTTTTGCATGTAGTGTCAGTTCACGCGTTCAGCAAGTATCTCCTGCGGTCCTACAACATGCCAGGCATAAAAACACCAAGATGAAAAGACCCGTGCTGGGGAGACAGTCATGCAGACACCACTAAAATGCAGTGCGGGTGCTCTGACGGCGCCGCGCAGGCGCAGGAAGCCGTGCTCTGCGCTCGCTGAGGAGCTGCCCCTGCAGGGCTTCTCAGAAAGGCACAGCCTCACCCTGGACGGGGAGGCGGGCAGAGAGGAGGTTCCGGGGAAGCCCGAAGCCTTGGCCCTCAGGCGCACAAGTCTAGAGGATAGTGTTGGAGGAGGCTCAGAGTGGAGGCAGAAAGGGAATGCAGCTCATAACCGGCCTTAGCCTCTGTCCTAAAGGGTCTGTTTATTGTAACGAGTCTGAGCCGTGGAAAGGGTGGCTTTGGTCGAGATGTGAGAAAGAGGACTCTGGTAGTATTTCGGAGATGAGACAAGTGGCCAGTGGACTGAGGGGAAGTGTGAGGTAATAGGCATGAAATACGGAGCATGTGTCCAGGTCCTGTCCATAAGGATGGAGCGGGGGAACGTCTCCAAAGTACCAGTCTTTAGAGCAGTTTCTCAACTTGGGAGGAGTCTGTCCAGCCTGCCACGTGGAATTCTATTGGGTATACAGCTGTTGCGTGTGTGCATTTAATCAGATTTTCAAAGGCATCCATGATATACCAAAGGATGAAAAGCATTACTTAAAAAAAACTAAATTTAATCGGAATTATTTCTTGAATGCCTGTTAGGATTCACTTCCACAAGGGAAATGAATATACAGCTGAAGCTTCTCCCTCCAAAGGATTTTCACATCCTAGAAAAGACAACACACACACACACACACACACACACACGATTACTGAGCTGTGCAGGAGTCTTGAGAAGCATTGAGAATGAAGGCTGTGGTGCTGTGGACGCCGTCTGCACGCAGAGCCTGCGCTGTTGTGTGCGCTGCTTCTGACACCTGCTTAGGGGAATTTGTCACTTGCCTTTCATCTCCGTGAAATGAACGTTAGAGCTTCAACTTTCAGGCTCCTCACCTATAACTGCACAGGGGAGAGTCAAAATTTGGCAAGAGATTTCCATCTGAGTGGCGTTAACACAGACCTCGTTATTCTTAAATCTCAGAGGACCCTTGGAGAGAGGCACCTGAAAGTTTTAAAAAGATCTACGTTATGCTCCTCGCCCCTCAGAATACCACTGTCATAACGCAATAGACTCTGGTTTTTAAAATAAGCCTATAAATGCTTAGGTGTTTTAAAATTCAGATGGGTTCTGTACACAGACCCATCTTTAATTGCCATTAATCTGTAAGTACTGAGTGCATCAACTTCATTGTAAAGCCCTCCTGTTTTGCAACAAGCTTCTTATGTGCGCACAGTGATTGTTCTTACCCAAACACCGAGAGCAGCAGTTGCTCCAGTTAATCCACCTGTGGATAAAGACTGAAACACATACGGGGGATAAATATTTGGGAAGACCGTGAAGCTGACAGATTATTGGAAGACAGGAATTAGGTGGGAGTGCCATGGTTAACCGCACTGAAGAAGATGCCTTGAGCAATTATTTAGGAGGTGGTCGTTCCGAGCAAGGGGAGCAGCTTGCTCAGTGAAGGGTGCGAAGTGAGGCCCAAACGGCAAGCAGCTGGCTTTATGCCAGAACTGCCTGCCCTGAACGGCCCCCCGCGCCTCGCGCCTCTGGCTTGAAGCAGAGTAACGAGTGGCAAGATGGGGGGCGACACTTTAGGTTTTGTGGTTTTAGTTTGTACAGTGGGTAGCATACCATCCCATTCCCGCAGCTTCAACATAAGCTCCGTTTTAGAAGCTGAGGTCGGAGAAAAGAACCTTAGAAAGGAGAACGTGGGTCCCGGTACAGCAGGTGGGGGAAGCAGGAGGAAAAGGCAGAAGGCACGCAGAAAAGCGGATTCTGCGAGGCCGGCCCGAATTCCCGCTTGGAGGTCTTACTGTAAGCAGTTACACGTGGCGCTGCCTGTAGCACAGCCTGAAGCTGGTGGTTTCGTGGGCTGTGAGGCAAGACGAGAAGTTGAGGGAGGGAAACCAGCTGTTGAAGTAATTTCAGCTATAAGATGATCGTGTTCTAGATTGGGACTGTTGCATGAGTGAGTAAGGGATCAATTAAAAGGGGAAGGGCTGGATGCCAGGCGAAGGAAAGAGTCAAAAGAATCAGAGGAATGGCAGCTGGTAAAACGTGAAAAGTGGTGTTATTGCTCAAGTAGAGTTTCGCTGACCTGTACCTTTCTCACAGGTAGTCAGGAGTAGGGTGGTCCAGAGTCGTTAACTTGGCATTGACCTACCCCTGGGTGATAAATGAAATCTAATCAAAGTCCTCCACAAAGAAGAAAAGGCAAGAATAGAAAAGCCAGGGCAGAGCTCAGGGAGTCCTGTTCTCTAGTTCTGGACCACACTGAAGACTGTTTAAATGTCAGGTTTGCAAACCATTCCCCCTCATATCTATTCCTGATGATGTATCTGTGGGTACCTTGTGTAAGAATGGGGTATAAGCCTTGTATAACTTGGCTTCAAAAACCCTTTTCTGCAATGTGTTTCAATACATGTGGAACTTGGGGACACAGCACCGTGTTACATGTCCCAGCTGCCTCTCGCAATGGGTCCTGTCCCTCCACAACGGTAGCATTCTACATATCCCTGTGTATGCTGAGCCCTGCTGTCCTGGAGGGGAGAGGTGGAACTTCCTTTTCTTTCTATCCCCTGCACATAGTTGGCTAATATTTTTTTTCTGAAGGGAGAGAGGGAGAAGAAATAAAGTTTTGCTTTAAGAAAATGACAATTAGACCCAAATTATGTTTTTGAACTGGCTTTCCAACAGCAGCTACTGTAGACCCCTTACCAATTCTAGGAAAGGATCAGGAGTGGACAATGTAGGTTAGAAGGTTGGGTGAAGGTATGATGAATATACTTTTGACTTCAACATATGGTCTTTAAAGAAATTCTTTTTTTACAGAATGAGTTGTTAGAAATTCTTTTGTACCCAAAGCCACAAGTTCAATTGCATCTCAGAGGCGTGCAACCCGTCTCCAGTTCTTCAAGATCCCACTGAGACACCCTCAGCCTGCTTCGTGAAGGTCACTGGTAATTTCATTGGCAAAATTCAAAAGGGCTTTTTCTAGAAAGACTAAGCTGCTACAACAGTTCAGCGTTTTCCTTTGAGGGGCGCGCCTGGGTGGCTCAGTCGGTTGAGCATCCGACTCTTGATTTCAGCTCAGCTCATGCTCTCACGGTTTGTGAGTTCAAGCCTGCGTGGAGCCTGCTTGGGATTCTCTCTCTCTCTCTCTCTCTCTCTCCCCCCCCCCCACCCTCATGCTCTAACTCACTCTCTCAAAATAAATGTTAAGCTGTAGTTGATCTGAAACTTCAAAATACCTGTATTGTATTTGTAAAGCACAAATCCGCTTTGGAAAACCATCACAATTCCATTTGTTGTAGTTCCGCTGAGCTCCTAAAATCTAAACTGTTGGTTTTTAATTTTTATTATTATTTTTTAAAGCATAATTTATTGTCAAGTTGGCTAACATTCAGTGTATACATCATGGGACTCTACCCCTAAACTCAGTAGGTTTAAAAAAAAAAAAAAAAAAAAAAACTTGAGGAAATCTTAAGTTTGTCATCCTTAACACTTTAAAAAGGTTCATCGTAATAACTGAGTGTTATCCTATGAAACGCCAGGTCCTGTGTGTTAGTTTTATTTCCAGAACAGCATCCTTAATTGCAGCTTGTGGCTTGAAGTACAACCTAGGCTGCTTCATGAATTTTGTCGTTAGAGCCTCTGGAGACAGGGGCTGCACACCTCTGAGATGACAGCTCATAGAAAAGTATTCAGCTGAGGAGCCGAGACTTGAGCATGAGGCTCAGGCTCACAGCACAGGCGGTGGGGTGGCATTCCGGGTTTGGGGTCCAACTGAACACTCTTGGAGATCAAGGATAGACACTTAGTGTTATTTCTATGGCCTGAACTTTCTACCTCATCAATGAAAACCAAGCAGGAACTGTACATAGGAAAAACCACCTAAAATCTGGGAAGAGGGTGTGGGGGGCGGGCATGGGGTTTTGGGTGGAAGGTAAATTGGGTCACTTTTGAAAACTCAGTAATTTCCAGAGGGTATAGAACATCCATTTAACCCTTTCCTGAAAATGACGTATTTTTAAATATTTATATATGTTTAGAAATCTCTGCATATATGAGGAAAATCGGTTCTCAAGGAGTGGTTTTTTTTTTTTTTTTTTACAGGTATAAAACTATTGTACCTTTAGTGGTGCCTATTTTTTTTTATTATACATTGGTAGAATCTGGGAAATATAGATTTTTTATGAAAATAATCTTACACCTCACCTAGATAAAAGCATTACTTAAATATTGTTCCTACAATACATTTGGCTGTTAAAATTTCAGAAGGGACTCATTTCTTCTCCCTTCTGTTCCTAGGCACATGGCTACCCATTCACCCCAGAAATCTCACCAGTGCGCTCACTGTGAGAAGACGTTCAATCGGAAAGACCACCTGAAAAACCACCTCCAAACGCATGACCCCAACAAAATGGCCTTCGGGTGTGAGGAGTGTGGGAAGAAGTACAACACCATGCTGGGCTACAAGAGGCACCTGGCCCTCCACGCGGCCAGCAGCGGCGACCTCACGTGCGGCGTGTGCGCCCTGGAGCTGGGGAGCACCGAGGTGCTGCTGGACCACCTCAAGGCCCACGCGGAAGAAAAGCCGCCCGGCGGCACCAAGGAGAAGAAGCACCAGTGCGACCACTGCGAGAGATGCTTCTACACCCGGAAGGACGTGCGGCGCCATCTGGTGGTCCACACAGGCTGCAAGGACTTCCTGTGCCAGTTTTGCGCCCAGAGATTCGGGCGCAAAGACCACCTCACCCGACACACCAAGAAGACACACTCACAGGAGCTGATGAAAGAGAGTCTGCAGTCCGGAGACCTTCTGAGCACCTTCCACTCCATCTCCCCCCAGTTTCAGCTGAAGGCCGCCCCGCTCTCTCCCTTCCCCCTGGGAGCCCCCGCGCAGAACGGGCTCGCCGGCGGCCTGGCGGCTGAGGTGCACGGCCACGCCCACAACCCCTCCGATCCAACCTCCCAGCCGGTGCCGGCGCTGCCGGAGCCCCTGGCCCCTCTGCACCCCGTCACCTCCCCCGGCTCCCCTCCCGCCCCCCTGCAGAATCACAAGTACAACACCAGTTCTACCTCATACTCCCCACTGGCAAGCCTGCCCCTCAAAGCAGATACTAAAGGATTCTGCAACATCGGTTTGCTTGAGGACTTGCCTCTGCAAGAGCCTCAGTCACCTCACAAGCTCAGCCCGGGCTTCGATCTGGCCAAGGGGGGCCCTGGCAAAGTCAGCCTGCCCAAGGAGCTCCCTGCAGACGCTGTGAACCTAACGATACCTGCCTCTTTGGACATCTCCCCCCTGCTGGGCTTCTGGCAGCTGCCCCCGCCTGCTACCCAAAATGCCTTTGGGAATAGCGCACTCACCCTGGGGCCTGGGGAGTCTCTGCCCCACAGGTTAAGCTGCCTGGGGCAGCAGCAACAAGATCCCTCACTAGCCATGAGCACTATGAGCCTGGGCCAGCTCCCCCTGCCCCCCATCCCCCACGTTTTCCCAGCTGGCACCGGCTCCGCTATCCTGCCTCATTTCCATCATGCGTTCAGATGACTGGTTTTTAAGGCGTACTTTTCTTATTCTGGAGGGTGTTTTACGGAGCATTTTAAACATCAGTTATGATACGAGGAAAGATTTGGAAAGCGGGACTTGGAAATACGGCGAATTCAGTGATGACTGGCTTGACATAAAGAGAGTTCTCGAACTGCATGTATTGTGCCAATTGTCCTGAGTGTTCATGCTTTGTACCAAATTTAATAAGCAAGTATTCTTTAATGGAACTGCAACTATTGTCATAACCGACATCCAAACGAGGGCTGCTATATATAGGTGTTTGTCAAATTGAATTTAATCGTAAGCCATGATCATAATAATGTTAACTAATTTTATGCGGCACTGCCTAGTAAGGGAACTATGGGAAGGTTTGGATTTCTCCAACATGGGAGAATTTTTGAAATACAAGAATAACCTTTATATTGCATATTATAACTAGGCTGTGTATTTCTTTTCAGGGATTTTTCTACCTTCAGGGTTGGATGTAGTTTAGTTACTATTGCCATAGCCAACCTGTAGTTTTACAGAAACAATGTCTTGTGGAATAATAGACATCTCCATTTTAAAAAAGCATTTTAAATGTAGTTTGAATATTTTCCACAAGATGCTACAATGTGAGTTATCACTTCATTTATCTTAAAAGACTAAACTGGTTGTCAGTTATATCTGACGGAAAAAAAAAATCACTGTGTAACCAGGTTAAGTGGTAAAATAATCCAGGCGTCAGTCAAAAAAAAGCATTTTGCTGACTTTAATATTGATTATATTTTTAACAGGAATTTAAGAAAATATTACTGGAATTTTAAAATATATATATATATATATTAAACAAGAATTTTCTTTGCTCTGGCTTAAAATACTACTCTGCTTAAGTATTATTTTTAATCACCAATAAATGCATTTAAATTCATCATTTAAGTCAATATTAGTTTTATTCAAAAGGATAACATTTGCAATGTAACTATAATCTATGTCTTGAATTTGGTATCTAATGAGTAAGAATATAAAACCTAACCTTTTTTTAAAGCTCATTTGTCTTTTGTGTTTAGAGGCTTTCTATATGAAGATATATCTTACATATAATAAACTCTACAAATCCTGCATACTTGACTTGACTGGTTTTTACTACAAACTACACCCGCGGCACCGTCCAGATTGGGATAGAAAACATTTCCAGCTCCCGAGCCGGCTCCCTCATGCCCCCTCCTGGCCATTACGTCCCCCACAGAAACTACTATTCTGACTTCTATTCAGCATCAATGAGAAACTACCTTTTTTGGAGTAAATTAGGACTTAAAGTGGAAGCTTATATGCTTCAGTTAAGTTCCTAGCACTATTTAATTCTAAAAATTACTGATAAAATTGTTTTAATTCTTCTATAATATTATGTACTTTCTGATGTAGATGTCAGAGTACTAGCTACCCTGGGCTACCATGTTCCAGTTTCACAATGGTCCTTACCATTAATTTCCAGTACAGATTAGAAGCTTGCCTATTGCTTGTTAGGATTTCTTCAGAAAGTACTATGACCCCTTGAATCTGAAAAGCCGGTTTTGCTTAACCTCTCATTAGGATGGGGGTGGGTAGAGAAAAGGAAGCCGTGAGTACCCTTTGTCCATCAAAGAAGCCTTTTAGCCAGCACGAGAAACCCTGGCCCACAGCCCTTAACCGTGATGCTGATGAACATAAAGGGCACCAAGCGACCCAGGGCTCGACTGCAGTATGGAGACCCGACATGGTGGATCCTTAAAGTACAGTTTAAGCTGCAGGTAGGAAATGAGAAAAAGGGATAAAGTTTCCCTCTTCAGTAGGAACCCAGTGGGCTGCCTACCTCCATTCCTATATCCACTCTTACCTCTCTGAGAGAAGGCAATCTGCCAGAGCAGGGAGGGCAGACAGTACTGGTTCACCTGAGCAAAATCTCCCAAGATCCACTTACAGAAGCTTCCACAGATAACTTCACATGGCTTAGTAGTCTTCAGTCCATTGCAGCGCACATAACTGATTTACCTGAGCACAGAACATAGCATTTGGTCCCAAAACACAGATCATAAAAGAGTTCAGGTGTTGTATCTGCTGTATTACAAGTGGGAGTAGCTTGGAATTCTATTTAAATTTAGACAGGAGGGGCACTGGGTGGCTCAGTCGGTTAAGTGTCTGACCTCGGCTCAGGTCATGATCTCACGGCTCGTGGGTTCGAGCCCCGAGTTAGGTTCTACACTGACAGCTCGGAGCCTGGAGCCTGCTTTGGATTCTGTATCCTCTCTGCCCCTTCCCCTGCTCATGCTCTCTCTCTCAAAAATAAACATTTAAAAAGTAAAAAATGTATATAAATTTAGAAAAAATGGCTTAATTTCTAATTTAAACCGAGTTCAAGAACAAAAACATAGGGGTGCCTGGGTGGTTTTGTCAGTTAAGCATCTGACTTTCATTTCAGCTCAGATCCTGATCTCACAGTTTGTGGGTTTGAGCCCTGCGTAGGGCTCCCTCCGTGCTGTCAGCATGGAGCCTGCTTGGGAAATTTCTCTCCCTCCCTCTCTGCCCCTCCCCTGCTCAAAATAAATAAATGTTTTAATTAAAACTAAAAATTCTTGGGGCGCCTGGGTGGCTCAGTCAGTTGAGCGTCTGACTTCAGCTCAGGTCGTGATCTCACGGTCCGTGGAGTTTGAGCCCTGCATCGGGCTCTGTGCTGATAGCTCAGAGCCTGGAGCCTGCTTCAGATTTTGTCTCTGTCTCAAAAAAACGAATAAAACGTTAAAAAAAAATGTTTTAATAAAAAATTCATGAAAAAGCATGAGTGCCAAGAACTTTACAAAAAGAGTTTATTCACCCTGAGGACGGCAAGGAGAAGGAGTAGTTGAAACACCACGTCCCAGCAAAGCCACAGAAATTGGGGGCGGGGGTGGAGAATGAGCAGGTAGCTTCTGGCCTGGCCATTAGAAACAGCCTGAGGCCACTTAGGAGCATCCTTCACACAGAATGGGAAGGTTCTTGTGACTTGTTCCTCCACTGCGGTGTTTCCCCCCAAACTGTGTGAGCTGGTGTGGGACAACTCGTGGTGTACAGATGGAAACTTGAAATAGGAGTATTTGGTAATTAAAGTGTATCAGGAGCAAATATCAAAAATGGGATTTCGAGAGACTCGAATGCTGAGAACAAACTGAGGGCTAAGGGGGCTTGGGGGGGAGAAGGGGGGTGATGGGCATGGAGGAGGGCACTCGTTGGGATGAGCACAGGGTGTTATATGGAAACCAAGTTGACAATAAACTATGAAAGAAAAAGATTTTTAATTTTAAAAGGGATTTCACATTATGTAGACCGAAGCTAAGTAAAAACCTATTTTCCTAGCAAATAAATGATTCTAGTAAGCAAAACTCCAAAGACTATTTCACTAAAAGGTTCTAACATCAAAGCAACATTTCTTTAAAACATCCAAAAAATAAGGGGCGCCTGGGTGGCTCAGTCAGTTAAGCATCCGACTTCAGCTCAGGTCATGATCTCACGGTTCGTGGGTTCGAGCTCTGCGTTGGGCTCTATGCTGACAGTTAGCTCAGAGCCTGGAGCCTGCTTCAGATTCTGCATTTCCCTCTCTCTCTCTGACCTTCCCCTGCTCATGCTGTCTCTCTTAAAAAAAAAAAAAAAAGTAGAGAAAAATCCAAAAAAAAATAAAAAATAAAAACCCACCAAAAAAAACTTAAACCACTTTCTTGCAGGTTGATATGTTGTTTAATGATACGGTTTTGAACGTTTTAAAGGGAGTAAAGAAGAAGAAAATTTGAATCTGGTTTTTACTTGTACATGATGTCTCGAGAAGAATCGTGGGCTTATAAACAGCTGTCTGCCTTTTTTTCCCCTTAGGTGGCATTCCTGGGTGCACAGCCACGCCAGCTGATGAGTTAAAGGGAGACAGTCTGAAAACAAACAAACAGGCATTTACTTTAGAACGTCATTGTTTCCACATTAAGAATGTTAAATAATACAGGCCTCATTACATTCTTAACAAAAAATTAACAATTAAAAAAAAAAAAAGGTCTCCAGAGCAGTCCTATTCAGTGTCAATCTCAGGTGACTGTCCTTTTTGGGACAAATGTGTTTGGAAGAAGGGACAGGGCTGTAGCCTTCCAGGTCAAAATGAGGGCTCGTTCCCCTTCCCTGTAGTTTACCAGTCAGAAGCTGAATATCATCTTCAAACTATATGTTTAACAAAAGAGTGTATTTCAAGAGCATATATTTTATTAATCTAAGGGAGGGTTTGCCCAAATTTCTCTTTGGTTTGCCTACTATGGATTCATTCTCTTAAAGACTCACTAACTGTACCTTACACATTAAATGATTAGCAACACCTGGATTAGAGGTTAATTTTTTTTTGTTTTTCTTACCTGGCCTCTAGGAGTTAATCTTTTTTAGAAGGTTTAGTAAATCCTTGTCTGAGTTTTGCTCCAGAAGCAGGGTCCACTGCTAATCCTTTGCAGACATAAACAGATTTGTTATTATGTAAAAGCAAACATTAGCAAGAAAAAAAAGGAATGATTATGAAATCCTCACATTGGATTCAAAAGTCTCTCCTTCCTTTTTGTTTTGTTCTGTTTTGTAGCTATAGACAAATACTCAGTCTCTATCTTGGGCCAAATAATAAGGGAAACAGGGACAGTCTCAGGCACCTTCTCCACCTCTGCCCCGGGCCCTTCCCCTTCTCCAGGATGGGCCTCTGGACCAGCACCTCAGGCGGGCCATCACTTCTACAATCTGACTCTCCCCATCGCTGTCCTGGCTTTTGAAATGTTCCCTGAGTATATCATGTCTTCACAGTTCTTTGCCTGCTCTCATTCCAGAAAGGGTTTGATAAGCCTTATGGAAGCATGAGATGCCTTTCCTCCCAGGGCTTATTTTCATAGCGATGGACTCATTCCACAAACAGGATTCTTTCCCTTTGTGCCCAACAGCATTACTAGGTATGAGGGTGGAGGAGTTTATAGATACAAGCATGCCACACTATGGTCTGCTTTGTACCGCATGGCATGGGACAGGAGTCTCAGATAAATCTGGTTTCTTGTTTTTTGTTTTTTTGTAAAATGGAACAATCCCCTTCTGTCCTAGAGGCCTCCTTTCCACTCCGTGTTTTATGAAGGGGAAGTTACCAAACAACCCAAGGACATCCTGAATCAAACTAATCTCAAAAGACACAGGAGGAGAGTCTTCAGTGTTACTTTCACTGAAAGATCTACACGTTTTAGGTCTTCCAAAGATGTGGCAATGACCCCTTGATACTTGTTCCATCTGCTACATAATCAAATTAGGTAAGGAGGTGATGCTAGTGCAGGTAAGATGCTTACATTCATCAAATCCACTGGCTCCAAAAATAAAAGCAGAGCCCACTCCAACAAAGTTGTACAATACAGTTCACTGAACACATGACAGAACATGGCTCCAGTGCCCAGAACTGTACTGTCATAGTGATCCTGGTCTCTCTGTATGAAAGTCCTGTAGAAGCTTCGCTCCGCAGTACCTCCTCAGGAACGCAGTCCCTTTTATATCAAAACCCTTGAGCAAATAGCCACTGGTTGTATATCTGCAAACTAGACTATAAACTTACTTTCCAACTAAACATTAGAATCTTTGTGTGAACAGAAGATCTATATACCTTTTTCTAAAACAATTTCCATACGTAAGTATTACAGGTGATGATCACAATGTTATAAATGCCTCTCCCCTTAATGTTTTCACTTTTGACCCAGTTATCCCAAAGCAGGCAAAGACTCAGTCAGCTCTACCCCTTTTGATGAAATTACTTGAGCCAGTGGCTTAGCCTCTCTATACTCCCCTCGCCTGTACACAGGAATAGGACAATTACGTGTGCGCTGTGTTACTGTGAGGAGTAAGTGAGTTGACATATGAAGTGCTTAGAAGACTGTCTGATGTCAATCTGGGCTATTCCCCATGAAGAAGGGAATTATTTAGCATAGCAAAAAATACCACAGCATATTAGCATAGCAATCTAGCTGCTCAATACCAGGAAAAGAGCTAAATAAGTAATCTTGTGATACAACGCTCAAAGACAAAACAAAACAATCTCTTTTTGCCATAGGGAAATCTTCAAAATGTG